CATGGATGGGACAAGAGGTGTGCACCGGGTACTGGTTGGGAAGCCTGAGGGGAAGAGACCTCTGGGGAGACCTAGACGTAGATGGGAGGATAATCTCAGGCGGGATCTATGGGAGATAGGAGTTGAAGGAGACTGGATTTTGTTGGCCCAGGACAGGGTCCGGTGGAGGGCTTTGGTTAATTCGGTGATGAACCTTCAGGTTCCGTAAGCCATCTAGTTAATAAAAGTAGAGCTGTATTCTGTATGGAGTGAGGAGGACAATTCTAGGCACAGAATCTAAACTTCCATGTTGAATCTCCTGCTTCTGCATGCAATTTTAGAAATTGCATCTGTGAGTTTAATAACAATTGAAAAGGAAGGGAAAATGTATTTGAAGTGGTGAAGAGCCTTCCGCTGATTGGTAACCATTTGTTCAAGGTTTTTTTGTTCTGTTCTTTTGTTCTTTGCAGTATAATGCAGCTCGGAAACCTGTATAGATCGTGTGAGGATAAATATACCTCCTGTTGAAGTTGGTAATTCCATGCCTGCCAAAATTATTCTTGCTGACATCAGATATTTGCGCTGGTGTTTTGAAATTATAGTATTCAAGCCGTGCCTGAACATAATATTTAAGGTTTTAACGGTGCTGAAGGCCTGGGATGTGACTTCATGAATTTGTATAAGTGGATACCGATTTTGTTGAGGAACTCGTCGTCTTTACGTACAAGGTTACCTGGCGACATCAAACCAGAAGGCCCCAGTCCACATCAAAATAAAAATATACACGACATTCCGAAGTACGGTAGGAAAAATGAGTCTAAAGTGTCTGGTTGGGTCAGAGCTCTGCGTCATTATTCGATAGACTAAGGTAAGCTGAGTTGCCATTGTTTCATTACGCCTTGCAAATTATTATGCTTTCTGTTACAACCGTGTTCTTTCTATATTCCACTCAGTGAACAGCTTTGTTTCGTATGCTGAACGTCTTCCGTTTAGAACAATTCTTGCAATCAAGCAGCGGCCAACAGACGAGAGGAAGGGTTGCATGCTTTTCAGGGGAAGAAGGAATTGTTTCGTAGAGCAGGGGTGGAAAGGAATTGACACATTTGTCCCTGGTTTAGATCGTTGGCCTCTCTACTCGTTATTTATGGTGCATGTCTACCCTAGTATTCAATCTTCTTCCATTCGTTTTGCCAGTCGAATCCTGCTTATTTAGTCACTATATATATATATATTTATTATTATATTATTTAGTGTTCTGTCTGACGACAGGTCCATATGAACAGGATCCTTCCATCCTTTTCTCGGACTGGGACCTGTTCATATACGTTCTTGGCAGATGATCCAGAAGTGGTTTGCCATTGCCTTCTTCTGTGTGTGAATGGAATAATTGTTGGGATGCCTAGACCACGGCCTTGCCCAACACAAGTTATAAATTCGGGCACCGCAGGGAATCGAACCCAAGAGCCCTGGATTACAAGGCTAGCGTTCTAACCGCTAGACCACCGTGGCTATTCATCATATATAGGAATAGTAATTGATCCCTCCATTTGCTATAACTATTCTTTTCACACACACTCATATTTATCGTCTTAATCCGCAAAAGTGATACAGTTACGGATTACACCACAGAAATACTATACTTAATTTTTAGAAAGCTCACTAATTCACTTCCATCCACAGAAGATACTTTCTTCTGATGTCACTATAACAACAAATTAACCTAATACATTATGCTGGGCTGCCAAGCCACTGACAGTTTGCAGCTTAAATAATTCATATTACTGATATTAGTATAGACAATTATGTCATCGGTGCTGCTATGGACATCATAACAAATAATTCATGTGACCACTGATAGGAGGCAGCATGAGGAGTTTGTTTGATCACTGATCACATAAATGCCATCATGCCATCGTGGCTTAACAGCGTCTTGAGACAGGACCATCCTCCCACATTGTGACTTCAACCGTTCATCAGGTTCGTAATACTCATTACAAGAACGTGTATTGTACGAATATGAAATGGCCTTAATCATAATTCACTCCATGACAAATTATGATCAGAACATAAAAGTTCATACAATAAGAGATACATGGAACAATGATCTTTGCTGAAAAACATGCCAGACAGATGCCCACAAATTCAACTTCAAGGACAAGATTGGGTTTGGGTTAGACCATGGACTGAAGCTTGGTGAGAAAGCCCAAGGGCATCCTCAGGTTCTCCACACCTTTCCAGCTGATTAGATGTGTGAGCACACATAATGTCCAGATCTGGGGTACCAAAAAGCCACATGCTATTTATCCAGAACAAAGGTTTATGGTCAGATCTTTTTTTGCAGAAAGCACAATTACAGGCATCACGTATCTCAACATATTGCAACAGTGGTTAATGCCACAACTGTCAGAAGATTTTCCACAACAGGATTCCTAGTTCCGGCAGGATTGTGTACTGCAACTCTGGCGTTTGGAAGTCGGTGACTACCTTTATGAAAACCTGCCTTGCACGTGGCCTCCCAGAACCCCTGACCCGACACTAATGGGGTTACGCAAGGGATGCAGATTACTAACCTCCTCGGCCACACATTCTTCATGAATTAGATACACATATCCAAATTCAGTGGAAGTTGCGACACCTTGGACAAAGTGACGCAAGAACTTAAAATAATTCTTTTATGTTTGCCATGTGGTGAATGGCTCTCATATCGTAAACCTCTACCTTGATGCAAATTAGAAGGTTACCTTTTTCATCTGTACGTCGTTTCATTGTGTGTCGCTTGTAGTATTTGTTCAATAAATTTATGAAATGGTGTCCAACATACAAATAGTCCAATATAGGTAAGAAAATATTGGCACAATGAATGTGTTTTGTGCTCCTCATTACACAACACTTTCTTAATTGCACAGTTTATATAGAGAATATAGTGCTTAATGAGGAGATAAAGACTTTTGAATTGTGAAGGATGTGGAAGTAACCAGTCATGGCCTTGTCTTAAAACACTATCCCAGCACTTACCTGGAGAAGTTGAAGAGAATTACTAAAATTCAAACCACAATAGCTAGGCCTTGGACCAAGAACCTCCCAAATATTCAGCAGAAGTACTAATCACCCAATTTTGACGTCTGGTGCGTGAGTTTCATTTTATGAACATGATAACTAAATGTGTGTTCAAGTTATGTACAAAGCAAAAATTCAGATTACAAGACATACTGGAAGTAATTTAACAAAATAAAGAAAACAATATCAGCTATAGTAAGAAAGACAACCAAGATAACATACCATGTCCATTATTTTTTGTTTTCTCGTATCAGTGCTTGTTGCAGTATGCCTTATCATTGCAGAAGTCTGTCTGTTACTCACACAACTGTAAAAAAAGAACTGCATTTCAATGCATGATCAGAGCAGATTCATAATATCATGAAATTTATCAATGCATGTTCATGTAAATTACAGGTTTCAAGCAAAGTGAAATCATTTAGTTATATGCCCAAAACATAAATCTTAAAAAAATACTGCTTTCCAAGAGTATCCCAAATAAAATTCTGCTTATATTTCTTGCTTCCCCAACTGATCTACTTTTCAGCCCCCTGTAACCAGTGCCTTCTTTGTGGCAGCATGCACCAGTAAGGAATACCAGCAATTTTGCTTTAAAATATAAAAAATAAAGATTGTCAAAACATGTTAAAATTGTCAGACATGCCATAAAAGC